TGTTTCTACGTATTTACATGTGCTTGTTTTGTTTTCTGTGCTTTGGATAGAGACAGTATAGCTGAATATTGAGGAGTAATTTTGTTACATTTCCTGAGAATTTGATAGCACATGTGTATAAATGGACACCTCGTATATTACAAGGACTACTCTTATAAGCAATGGATATTTCAGTGTTTTGCATCCACAAATAGTTTGTATGGCCTGCAAGAGACTTCTTAATGCTTGACAGGCAATCCAGTATTAAAAAGGTGAGTTTTTACTTTGTCACAACAGTGTTCCCAAGTGCATTACTTCTCTGCATAATGGATGAGTTGCAGCAGAAAAAAAACAGAGCTGTATAGTTGGGTTTGAACAGACTTCTTGGATCCAGTCAGCCTGCTGGTTAACAAACAGGCTTGGTCCTGTCTGTTTCTAATAGTCAGTGATTACTATCCTTCTCTGTCTAGTTCTTGTTGCAGTTCACATACTGGTAGATTTGAGCAGATGGGGGAAATAGAAGTATGTTTTAAATTTAAATATTTACATTTATATAAAAATATGCTATATTTACAGTCGAAAGTGTCAAAATTGTGAAGGAAATACTAGATTAAATTATTTCCCCTCAGACTAAGGGTATTTTGTTTTTTTAAAAAAGAGCCAAAAGGAGTTTGAGAATAATAGACTTCATTTTCAATACTCCCCAGTTTCTAGCATCTGTCTTTTGAAAGCAGGAAAGAGGAATAGAAATTGGGAGTCCAGCAGATGTCCTGCTCCTACAAGAATCTGAAAAATCTTGCTGTCCTTTGCATATTCTACAGAGAATCAGTGTATCGTGGCAGCATATAATGTGCTTCCTCCCACATGGATTCCCTCCTGCACCACAGCATAACCCATTCAGCAGCATCCTCCAGTCATCTATGTAGCATTTTAAGGAGCTAGATGGATTGCGGCGGGGGGGGCTTTAACTGTCAGCCTAGTTGTAGACGTCTAAGTCTAGTTGTATTTTTAATTTGAAAATATTGTGCATTACTTGGCTAATTTCAAAGATAATTTAGGTTACGGTCTTATACATTTTAACTTAGAATTACATTCTGTTGAAGTTAGTGGTACTTTCATCTGAGTTGATATGTATTGGTTTGCAATGTTACTTTAGTAATACCTTATGTGAGTCTGTATTAAGCTGACTATTAGCAATTAATTACCTACATTGAAAACAAATGGAATTTTATTTCCTAATCCATTACTGTTTGCATCAGTAAACATGCAGAGTCATTTCTTTTCAGGATAAAGTATTAAACATTTTCAGAAAAAGAGATGTTTGAAAAGATGTGGAAGCATGTTATAAGGAAAGTAGTTAATTGAAAACAATCACAGTTTGAGAATCAAGCAATTTAGCTTTCTAGAGGACATAAAATAGGACTTTACAGTTTGCAGTGCTATTCACAAAGCTCATAGAAGTGAGTTTGGAATGCTTTGGATAGTATCAGATAATACTGGAATGATTCTAAAAGCAGGCATTATTAAGTCAGGTCTTGTAAGCTGGGGATCCCCTGTATACATTTTACTGAGGATTGTGAAGTCTGAAAACCTAAAGCATTATGTAGCACAAATCTAAAGCAAAATGTAACAAATTTTATGAGTCTGATTTTATTTTAAATCAGGATTTTAACACATTATAATTAAAAAGCTACTGCTTTTATTCATTCTGGCTCAGATCCAAAGCTGTGTGAACAAAAGGCTGTTTACTCAATAGGATTTACTGACCTTTTCCCTTCAAAAGCCTCTCTGGAGGGTCAGGGAAGTAGAAGACTAGAGTCCCCTATTGTGCAAACAGCTTTCTTCTCATGCATCTCTGGATTTGACCCACTATATTTAATGCACATTCAGTTATACCAGAAGTAGAATATTCACTTTGAGCTCAGGTGTTGTGCAGTGGGTGTTGTGTTAATAAAAATGGCAGCCAAACAACATGAGGTTGTGTGAGATAGAAGGAAAAACAGTTTTTTGAGCAAATCTGTTACAAGGAGAGTGTTGGTACTTTTAAAATGATGGAAATCAGGTAACATTTTCTATTTTCTTGTAATGTTGAAATTGGGTAATGTGAAAATGTGTTAAGATGTGCTGAACAAGTCTGTGACTGCAAATAATTGTGATTGAATGGAAGAATGGAAGTATTAACTACAGTATACCCGTGTGGTATGACTGAGTGGGTAAAGGGAACAGTGAATGACTGTCTTCAGGAAAACAGAACCCTAATCTGCCGAAAAGAGGCAACTATAAAACCATCGTTGAGAAAGCTTTCTCTGAACCTCATCATGCTGGGTAACTGCTGGCTAGTCTCCAACAACACATGTTTGGATGAACATGTGGTGGCCTACCAGCTCCAAAGATTTTTAGATAAAATGGATTATCAGACTTTCTCAACCTTATTTGTCCACAACCCTTTTAGGAACGCTTCTCAGGTTCCAGGGCTACCTGTGAAACAAGGATACAACACAACACATATCTTTCAGAAACTTCTTACATGTTTTAGTCTGTGACCCCTTCTCAAATGTGCCAGAGCTCTCCAAGGGACAATATGGCTCCATTGAGAATGTCTGATCTAGATTAGAGATAACCACAAACTATCTGAACTTTTTTTAAAAAATGAGGCATGAACTGGTTCGTTTTTTGTAAAGGTTGTGCCTGGGGGGAAGAAAAAAATAAACCTCCACCCCCACAGTCTGCTCCCACCCACTTCCCACTGCCCCCCTGTCACCTCCCTACCTGGTTCTGATGCCTCTTCCTCCATCGCTGCAAACCACCACCACCACCACCTTTGAACTGCAGAGCTGGAAGGGACCCTGTGGATCATTGAGTCCAATCCCTTTCAAGGAGGCATAGTGTGGAATCAAACTCCCAGCCTCTGGCTCTGCAGCCAGAGATCTAAGCCACTGAGCAAATGGTCAGTCTGGGGTTGCACAGCCTCAGTTGTGCACCGTGCGGCACTGGATCGTCCATTTGCAGCCCCACAGTCAGCCCACTGCTGCTGTCACCTCCTCCACTTTCTCCTTCTCCATCCCCACTGCTGACATCTTGAGTGACAGGTCGAGCTTCCCTTCCAGAAGCTAGGCCTGCTGCCTCTGTGCATGTATCTGCCTATCAGCTGGGCTGAGGGCATGAAAAGAGCCTGGAGGGAAAGCCAGGCCTGCTATGTCTCAAGATGATAGCTGCAGTCAATGGATGCACTGGAGGTGAAAGAGCAATAAGGGAAGGTAGAGGAGGACAATGCTGGGGAGAGAGCAAACTTAGTGGAGGAGGAACTATAGAAAAGAGTCAGTTAGGGGCAAAAGAAGGAGACTATCTTCACCAGTGGAACTGCAAAACTGTTTTCAGGTTCTTGAAGAGTCTGGCAGACAGCAAGCAAAGTCAAAGAGGAGGCACCGCAGGAGTGCACGAGAGGGACTGAAACTCTGCTAAGCACGGGCACTTAACCCACACCCTAGAGAAAGAGGAAGAAAAGAGTAGTTGTAATAGGAAACCCCCTATTTAACCGTGTGGGATGGAAACTGAAGTATGCTGGGATGATCCATGGACCCACCAGGTGTGCTGGTGGTCCAGGTATGCTGGTCAGTTCTAGAAGGTGATGTAAGTCTTCATAAGATTTGTCAATTTCAGTCTGCTCAGCATTGGTGTTTAGTGCATAAACTTGGATTACTGTGATGTTGAAAGGTCTGCCTTGGATTTGTATTGAAATCAACGTAAGAAAAAATGTTATGTGGACAAAATGGGATGGGAGAGGGCAGCAGCAACCTGCAATTAGGATGAGGAACCTTTGCTATGTATGTCAGTTATAGCTTATGGAAGGTCCAATGTGGCATGTCAATTTCCCTGCTGCCCAGGTCAGTTATGAGCGATAAAGGGTATCTGTTCCCCTTCAACTGCTGTGAATGTTTCAGAAAGTCTCCAAAGGTGTCAGTGGAAGCTTTCTGAAACCTAAATACAGCATGCTGGAGATGCATTTTAAAGTGTTCTACTGGGAATGGAAGGGGTAGCTGTCCCCACCATGTAGACCCCTGCAGAATTGTTCTTCTGTTACGACAACAAGGCTTTAAAAGAATCTATTGACACTGATGAGGATGGAACTCTCACCTGTTTTGCCCAGCAAGGACAGAAGAAGTGTGATTGGCTAGAAGGAGTCATAAGGAGATCCAATCCATAGGTTCCAGCAGGTGATATATAAACAAGAGCTGGAGGTTTTTCAGGACAGTTAACCGAGGGAGTTTTTGAGAGTTAACCGGAGAGAGTTAACAAGATGGAGTTAAATTGTATCAAGGGGAAATAGTCTGAGTTTCAAATTGGGCTATGTTACATTTTGGAATAGAAAAGTTGACAGATATTATTAATGTAACTTCAAATTTAAGAATGTGTATTTTATATTTGTACTATTTAAAGAGATAACTTCTATGTTTCAATTTAAAAACCATTTGTCTCTAATGATTTGGGCTTAAGGTAAGCCTAAGGAAAGGGCAGTTGAAAGGTGATTAGCCAGGTTGGCCTGGTCACAGGGACTTTCTGACAGCTCTGTATGTGTGAAGTGTGTATGAATGGGTGGGTAGATGTGCACATATACAGTCCCATGTTGTGGGGGGGGGTGTCTGACACTAAAGTGTTCACCAGCTCTTGGATTAGAATAGCTTCCCACTATTGCATTGGAAAGAGGGAACTTTCTTCTCAGCTAGAGATGTATATTGGGCACAATACATATTGATCTTTGCTTCTGCAGGGCTGAAAGCAAAACATCTGCATTTTTGTCAGTCCTAATCAGAAATTCTGTAATAGAATTAAAAGGAAGGTTGTCATTCAGATAATTATTTCATGGAGCATTTGACAACGTTTGAACTTGAATAAGTCACTGGGGATCATTGAAAGTATTTGCTTTTTTGTTAAACGGGCACCCATTGTTAACTAAAATTATCTGCATATTTTAGATTTTACTTCAGAATATGAATATAAATTTATGTCTTTTTTCTTTGCAGCCTAAAATGACTTCTGTATAAATGCCACAGAATAAATGGCGTCCAAAGTAACGGATGCTATAGTCTGGTACCAGAAGAAGGTAAGATTTTTTTCAGATAAATTATTCATGCTAGATCTTAGAAATGTGTTTCAACTGGTTTTGTTATCATTTAGCAGTGCAATTAAGTTTCAAGAAGACTTACTAATCACTTCCTCTTTTATAGAGCTCTATCACCACACCATCCATGTTTTGGTCTTGTCTCTCCCACTGCTATATTGGTTGTATTTCCTCTTGAAACTGAAGAATTTGGACAATCTGAGAGTGCAGTGGGAGAAGGAGCCTGCCTTGGATTTTAGCCTCTATGGTGTATGAGTACTGAGTGAAAGGATGTCTGTTCAGCTTTAGGAAATAAGTTCCTGTTTATAAAGTTGTAATGGCATGGCGCTTGAACAGAGCTACTCTGTTGAAACTCTTTCTGCCTTTAAATAACAAGTAGTTACTCATGATTAAAATGGCGAGAAAGCAATATTTCTTTTCTCATAACAGAGGAGCTCCCCTGGTTGGGGAGGAGGATTTGCATGCAGAGGATCTCCAGTTTAACATCTCTGTTAAGGCAGCAGGACTAATAAAATCCAGCAAGAAAGGACAGTGTGGTATTTCTTAGTTTTTACTGTGACCTTTAATTATTTTGTTAATTAAACCATTTGTGGAGGGAAAGTGTTTATAATCTTATTTTTGCCATTTATTTTTATTTTTTTCTGTTTTGGTGAGTCATTTGATTTGGGAATTATGTTGATAATCCTCTTTTAGGAGAGCCATTTTCCAATTTTTCCTTTGGTACATGCATCATTGGAATGAGATAGTGTTAGATAATCCATAGATTTTTATTTGGCAAAGGTAAATAAGCTTCAAAAATATTCTTTGGAATGGTGTTTTCCATTAATGAATAGATGAAAAATGATTCAAGATGCCTGGGCAATTTTGGCCTGAGGTGAGCGAAACCTACTTAACTTATACCTATTTCAGTACATGTTTTCTATACATTTGATAAGGCTGAGCATATCATTCAAGCTGAAATGTTAATGCTTCTGTTACATTGGTAGTAGCTAACAAAATAATAACTGGAAAAAACCCCACTAAGTTTTGCTTTTCTGTTGGGAAATATTTTTCATGAGCCTAACTATTCTGACATGATAGTGTTTCTATTAGCCATGCTGGAAAATAAGTTCAAACAGTGGGTGTGTAAGCAACTACTCTATGAGCTATAGCTAAACTCTGTATACAAGAAAAGTCCTGCCAACTCAGATCTGCTGGTCACAACAAATGTCTGTGTAGCCCAGTACAGTATCTTGATTCCCACAAGGGAATCAAATCGAAAGAACCAAGAAGGACATGAGAACAAACACTCTCTTTCATTTTTGTTCCTTATGAGTAATATTCAGAAGCATGCTGCTTCAGATTCTGGAATTAATACATAATCATCATGAGCAATAGTCAGTGGTAGGTGTGTCAGTGGAAACTAGCTGGAAGGGAGGGAGTAACAAATATGTTTTTAAAAAGATCACATTGACATGAATGCTGTAGCCTAAGGATAGCATAGCAGATTCCTGACACAGGCCATTAAAGGTGACAGATGTCAATTCGTAACTGTAGAGCTGGGTACAATTAGGATAGTCCTGGAGCTTTAAAATGCAACATACTGATGTTTTCAAGGTGCTTCCTGCTTAGTTAATTTCATTCTTGTGAATTCTTAAATATCTTCCTAGTCAAGTGACAAATGTTTGAAAAAGATTGTGAAGATAATAACTTCTAGACTGAGGGGGACAAGAGAGGAAAAAGGTGACTGATTCTCTGACTGCCAACAATAATATTAAGCATTAATGTGAACTCTTGTTTGGTGTAATCAAGGTAAATGCCAAAGAGGAAGGTTGATCATGAAAACCTTCTAAACTTGATACACAGCAATCTGTGGTGGATGGCATTGTGTGGGAGACCAAACACATGCATAATCCTTCCAATATGAAATTTGCTTGTCAGATGAAAACATACACATCAGAATGGGATCTAAACTCAGATGTTTAAATCAACAGGAGAGGCCTTTCAGTTCTATCATCTTCACGGGTGTCTTTGGTGAGGACATGGGAGAGGGATTTCTCTGTCACTACTAAGCATTTATATGGCACATTCAGACCCCTCACAACCATTATTTGAACAATCCTTATAGTGTCTAACTCTGTGAGATGGGCAGTGTTCTTATCCTTGTATTTCAGTTGCCAGGGAGTTAGATATAAGACTACCAAAGATTAACACTATCTACTCAGATAGCATCTGAACTCAGGATTATTCAACTCACAAGTTAGTTTCTGTATTTATATCATTTATGGAAACAGTTTTTTCTGTTTCTGAGAGTAAACATATTTGTGTGTGTGAAGAATGGGATGCCCAGTACTTTGCTACTAGTGTCTTTGATAATAAAGTAGTCCAATATGCCTTTTAAAAATATGTTAGTTATGAGAGATTCCAGTATGTTTGAAACCTGTGGATCTTCTAAGTGAGGTTGTATCATCCTGGCATGGATGCTGCATTACTGACTCCACACACATTATGTGTTTTTTTCAAATGTTACTGCAGAGGCACATAATGATAAACTATGGGCTTCTTGGATGCCACTGCTGGTAATGTTTGAATTCAGCTATTGTATTCTCTTCTTTCTTATCTCAACTTTCTTTGTATACTTTATTCTGCTACTGAGTTTTTAGAATGCAAATATTGATATGTCTTTTTGAAGAACAGATCTTTAGAGTTAAGAAATTTTGTTGTTGTCTTTGAGTATAGTATCAGGTTGATTCAGTTTTCAGGACATTGAACATCAAGTGGATGGATGTTGAGAAAGAACTTAGATATTTGCATTTTGTGGGATACACCCTCATCCTTTTGTTACACTTTCTTGACAGCTCCATTTCTTTTAGCTTGGATTCAAAGTTGTCTTGCATGGACAGAAAGGCACTCTATTTATGCAAATAAGCCTTCTTGAGTTCTTCTGATTTCTCTTTCCTGTTGCACTTCCCAGTACCCCATCTCATGCAGTTCCAGATTGTCTCCTGATTCTCAGTAGCAGAATTTGGGATGGGCAGGGGAATGTGAGAACTTGAAAAAGATGTTTATATTATCAGAGTCTGCTTGCTCTGGATCTGAGGTCTTGTGCTATTAAAGATTTATTTTATGAGATGCTTATCCTTTTCATTATCTAAATGTGCTTTTGTGTGATTCTATATACAAAACGTTTTTGTGTAAGAACAAACTGGTGGCAACAGATATGGCTGATGGTGTTAATTGCTGTTCAGTGCATCTTACCTTTTCTAACAGTAAACAAGCTATTTATAGAAATAAATTGATAACATTTATTTAAATAAAATTTTATTTAGCTAACATTTTTGGCTAAACATTTAGTGTAGGTATTCTGTCATTTATTAGAAGGTATGGAATGGTTAAAAGTAGTGGTGACTTTAAACTATATGCTATAAGTGAAGATACATTAATGCATAAACTTTCCTTTCAGGATAGGTACTCAATACATCAAATTTAGGTGGACTGAAACAGGCTCTAACCAAGTCCTCTATTGTTGCTTCTGCATTTGAGTTGTTATAATCATTCATTAAACTGCAATTTTAATTAGAAATTAAGCCAGAAGTAGGCCAGAAGTAGCAAGATAGTATCACTTCTCTTGGAGCACATGTAATTTCTTACAGATGCTAAATACACATTGCAGAGTTGATACTTTTTGTTCTTTTAACTTTTTAATTTTTTTTGTTTCTGTAACATATTATCAGGTTGATTAAAACAGAATTAAAGTAGGATTATCATCTTGGAGGATGGTCATCATCTTGGGCATGAATTATAAATGTCTTCTGAAATATTTATTGCTTCTATTAGAAACACCAGGCTTAGTGAGTATTGGGCTACATGGTGATACCATCACAGTCTATGTTTAAAGTGAATATCGGTGTCTGTCATGAAGCTCAAGTTTACTTCAGTGAACAATATACATTATTATTTCAGCAAGAAAAGCATTGGAAAGAAAAGGCATTAGTTATTCCTGAAGTTCAGAAATAATATGTTCATTATTTTAATTACACCCTTTCCCCCTTCCCAAGGAAAAATAATTAAGGTTATGATCTTGACACTGTTATGCCACCTTCTCTCTCTCTCTCTCTCTCTCTCTCTCTCTCTCTCTCTCTCTCTCTCTGTGTGTGTGTGTGTGTGTGTGTGTGTGTGTGTGTGTTTCTGTTACTTTCAAGTATATTCTACTAGTAGAATTGCTCTAATGGAGACATCCACTTTTGGGAATCAGAACTGGGTTTTATTGTAACATGGGACAACAGGTCCATGTGATCAATCTCTACTTCAGCATTGTTTCCCTGGACCAACGGGTCCCATGAGGGCATCCAAACATCTCTTTCAAACGGGTTATAATTCAAACTATTCCAAGGTCCCTTTATAAAGAGGTTACTGGTCTCTTAAGTCAACCGGTTCCATTTCTGTCTCTAATAACAGGGTGGTCTCCTCGTCTCTCCCCCCATTTTCAAAGGGGTTCTCTTCTCCTTGGTTGGGAGCCCACGGTCCATCAAGAATCCCCTCCTCCAGGCTTCTTCTAGACGCCATAGTCGTCTCTCTTTTCCCTTTCCACGGCTTCCTTTTCTTCCCAGAGTTTTCTACGCCACTCCCAGGCTTCAGATTCTCCCTAATATGAAGGCTGCGGAGGCAGACCCCGTTTCCTCCGGTAATCTGCCTCTTCCCTAGGGACCCGTACCTTTTCCCACTTTCCGGTCCATGGGACTTCCAGCCAAATGAACTACAAACCCTCAGGTATCGCATCCACTTCCCCTTTTATATCACCCATTCTCTCCTCCGTCACAGACCTCCCACTTTCTCCTCTTCCCACCAGTTCTTCCCCAGTCTGAGTGGCCACCGTCATTTTTGACAGTTCCCGCTCTAACTCACGGGTGTCAACTCCCCGTTGCATAGTCTCGACGGGTGGTGTAGGTGGGTCAGTCTGTACCTCTTCCTCCTTCTTGAGGGAGGACAACACTCCAGCGAGA